CCATCTTGGAGTTACCTCAACCCTGTCTTTTTTTTTTTTTTTTTTTTTTTTTTTGGCTTTCCTTTAAAAAAACTATTCTGCATCCAGGACTAGAATTACCTGCAGAGCTTTATAAAACTACAGATGCCTGGATCTCACTCCATCAGCCCTAAGAAGAATTGCTAGGCATGGGGCCTGGACATATGTAGTTTAAAAAGCCTCAGATTATTCTTTTGGACAACTAGGTTTAAGAACCCCGCTCAATTATAAATTCTTGGCAACTGTTTTATATGCTTTCCCTTATCCCCAAGTCCCAAATTTCACTTCTTGCTTTGTCTGCTCTGAATCTGTTTATGCTAGGTCTGTACCTATATTTCCAGCTGCTTGCTGGTTGTTTCCTCCTGAATGTCCTACTATCACCTTATAAATACTCTATACAAAGCTTGATTTCCTCTTCAAACTAGAGCATTCTACTGACTTTCCAATTTCTTCTATTGTTCCATCATTCTCCCAAGCACTCTAGCTCAGCTTCTTGGTATCTCTTCTGAATGCTTTCTCTTTATTGCCTCCAGTAATTGTGTCATCTATACCATTTGCCCTCTCTTCCTGCTACTACTTGTTTTTCCTGTGCCATCCTAGGGTGTTACAGTAGTTGTCTAGTTTGGCCACCATTCTTCTGTTACAGATTTATTTATGTTATTCTCCTGCTTTTAAAAGCCCTAGTGACTGCCATGTTGGGGAATGAAGCCTGGAATAGTTAACTGTGCACTTGAGGCCCTAAAAAATTTGGACTCAATTCAACCTTTTAATTTTATTTCCCATTACTTCCTTTATATGTTAAACTATTAAACTAGATTATTTAGAGGTAAGATGGTATATGGAGAAGATTCTTTTGAATCTTAGCACTGTCACTTTCTAAAGGTATGATATCTTGCAAGTTACTTTAGCCTTTTTGACCTTAGATTTCTCATTTGTAAAATAGGACATAAAAATAGCTATTTGCATGGTTTGTCAGTAGTTAACATGTATAGTGTGCTTAGCATGAGGCCTGCCCACTTAGCGGGCCTTGAAATATATTCTTCACTTCATATCTTCATTCTTCTCCAGTTTCCCTCCTTAGATTTGTGCTCTCTCATATCCTTCTCTTTTTCTATTTCTTTGCTCATGCCATTTTCTCTGCCTTTCCTTCCATTTCCAGCTTTTAAAATCCTTCTCTTTACCCTTTTCATAAGTCCTCCCCCTGCCCTTGTCCATTCCCAGTTCCCATAATGTTTTGTACCTCTTGTAGCATTTGTGAAAATTTCCCCCTTTGCTATGTTAAGTAGCAAAGCGCTTCAGTTTCTCTAAATCAAAATCTTAAGGACAAGGACCTACTTGTAATCATCTTGTTTTTTTCCATTATTCTCATCATACTGCTTTGTAACCAGCAGGTTCTCAGTGAATATTGAACAAACAGGTAAAGCCAAAGAACCACCACTCCTCCTGGGTAAAATGAAAAATAAGTCAAAGAGCAGTATTCCACAGTATGCTAGAGAAAGTGGTAAATGAATCTGCACACCTAGAGAAAGGATTTTTCCCACCAAATAAATAGCTAGAAACAGGATTTCTGGGAGAGGATAGCAGCTGACTCTGAGGCTAGGCAGGAAATACGCAGATTAAGTCTAGAAGATGTATCTTACCAGAAAGCACTGAAACAATCCGAGACTGCTGGGTTTTCATCAGAAGGACTCAGGAATTAACATGGAGTTCTGACTGATCAAAGATGGGACGATTTAAGCATTGAATAATAATAGCAGTGGATTGGAATGTATTAAATTTGTTTAAATCCATGAATGCACAGTGATTCTAAAAAAGAAAAGAAAAATATTTGATCACCTTTGGAAGAACTTAGGAAACCCATTTATCTTTCTGAAAACGGGTAAATAAAGAAATTAAAGCATTTATGCTACCACTTCTATAGGAATTACACCTGAGGTAAAGTTTTTGTAACTGAACTCAGGTCATAAATGAGGGCAGAATGATACAATATCAACTCAAAAATTTTTTTTTAGTTTTTTAGAATCAAAAGAGTATTTGTCTATTCAGCTAACTTTTCCCTCCTCTCTTCCTACTTAAAAAAAAAAAAAGGTCTTTGAATTAGAAGTTATATGAAGCAAACATTTAGGGGTAAAGTTGGTAACTCTTGCATCTTAGATTGCAGTCAAAAGGAAATTAAGCAACCCTGGCTGGTGTGCCTCAGTTGATTGGTTGGAGTGTCATAGCATAACCGAAAGGTTGCAGTCCAGGTGCATATGATCCCCAGTCCGGGCGCATACAGGAGGTAGCCAGTCAATGTTTCTTTCTCACATTGTTGTTTCTCTCTTTCTCTCCTTTCCTCTCTCTCTAAAAGCAATGAAAAAATGTCCTTGGGTGAGGATTAAAAAAGAAAAAGAAATTAAGCAAATAATTCCCCAAATTTGGGGAATACCAAACTGGGGAATTATTAACACCTCTAAGGGAAACGTTAACACCTTTCATTTAGGTATTGGCTTTCTATTTTTTTTATTGATTTTAGAGAGAGAAAAAGAAAGGGAAACATCGATTTGCTGTTCCATCCGTTTATGCATTCACTGGTTGGTTGATTCTTGTATTTGCCTTGACCTGAGATTGAACCCACAACCTTGGCCTATGGGAATGATACTCCAACCACCTAATGAGCCACCCAAGCCAGGGCCTAAGTCTTGGATTTTTAAAGGTTTCTTGGGCTTTTATGGTCTTCCTCATTGAATTTATTGTTATTGACAGTCATTTCAAGAGATCCTTCAAACTACTCAAGTGTAGATTGCCTTCAGTACTATGGCAATCCTGTATTGCTCAGTCAGTGTTAACCCTAGGTTTATCTCACAGTTTTTATATCAGTCCAATTGCTGGCCTTTCAGATGTAATATAGAAATCACGATGTAACATAGCAGTTTGCCACCTTAGCACTGTAACTTGCTACATCTATCTAAAAAAAAAGAAAACAAAATACTATTATTACTTTAAATGTTTTGTTAAAGTGTCAGTCTTGCTGGAGCTTTCTGTATTGTGCTCCTGTATTTATTGTAACCTGTTTATAGTAAATTCCTGGGAGAACCATAGAGCTGGAATAAGTCTGTCCCTTCCCTGCCTTCTGCCAGGGAAGGGAGGGAGTTAGGTGTTTCTTGAAAGTGGAGATGAACCCTCCCATTCTCAAAATGAGAAGCCGGCAGTTTCACCCTTGAGTAATGGAAGCTGTAAAATATTAACCAGACATGTTCTTTGACATATTAAATAAGCCTTTATTAAATGCCTGCTTTGAACCAGAAGCAGCCAATCCTTGCTGCCCTCAAAGTGTTGAGTCTAATTGGTGAGACACCTATTGTGTAAATGATAAATATTCAAAGTGCAGCATGCTTAGTGTTATAATGAGTAGATATAGGAGGCTCTGGGGACACCTAACTCAGACACTGAGCTTTGGTGAAGGAACCAGAAAGTCTGAACCTGGAGGATAAGTAGCATTTGGTCATGCAGGCCAGAGGATAAAGGACATCACCAGTAAAGAGGACAGCTTGGGTAAAAGGCATGGGATTGTGAAAAGTAAAGTATTTGGAGATGCAGGTAGCTTTGTTCTTATATAGGGTATTTTTGGTAGCAGGAGGAAGGATGAGTCCTCAAAGGAAGGAAGGAACTCAGTGGTTCATGGCCATAATTGCTGTTAGGCAGAGAGTTTAGAAGATGGTCCCATACATGGTTCTTGATATGTGTGAGCACTTTTCATATAAAAAATTAATGAAAATCAATATTGAGTAAAGTGTGCTAAATTAAGTTCAATGCGCATTTTTAAATGACAGAATAATATTACTTCATGCTTATAATACCATCTTGATGATCTGTGGGCTTGATTACTTAATAAGTTACCCTCCTATAAACACATTTGCTCTATTCTTTACAATCAGCTTTATTGAGATACAGTTTACTTGCAGCATCAATTTTACATGTACAATTCAGTGAATTTTGGCAAATGTATAGAGTTATATAACCAGTACTCCTCCAACCATAATATAGTATATTTTCATCACCTTGTATTAGCTTTCAGTTAGAGTTTGGTAAACTAAATAAATTAACTCTTTGAACCCTGGAAGATGTTATATCTGAAGAATAGAGAAATAAAAAACTGTCTACCTTTAAACCAGCCAAAAAAACCCTTTTTTTTTCCTTCCTATAAAACCCACACACAAAGAGAAGCTGTCAGTACAAGTGCTACTTTTGGGGACTTTTACCTCTTGAAATCTTCAGAAGGAAAAGGAGCAAGTAAGAAGCAATAGTAGGAAGTTGTCTACATAATGACTGGTATAATGCTTTACGAAGATTTTTGGGAGAAGAATGCTAATGAATGCTTTATGGGAGAAGAAACAACCAGGAAAACAAAACCAGAATTTTAAATACTAAACTGGCAACTTCGGCCTTGAAGTCTAACAAATAGCTCTGATACTTAATAGCAGAGAGTTGGAGAAACAGTTTCACTTGTCTGAGGACCTGGTTTTCTCACTCACGAAAAAAGGAATTGAATAGCATATTCTAAGCTATGTTATGCAGAACATTAGAGGTCTGTGAGGTGTGGATAGGAGTTATAGATTGGGGACAGGAGAATTAGGAATAAGGGCTAAATTAAACAGGGGAATAGTTGATTTTAGCTTTGATGCTGGCAAATAGGGGATTCAGTGCATTCCCCTCCTCCACTCAGTTGTACTTCCATATATTCAATTGACCTTTTAATTGACTTGTTAGAGCATTGGAGGTTAGGGCACTTTTCAAAACATAATTCTGCCTGTAATTGTGATTCATTATGGATAGGGATAAGTTTCTCCAGGGGAACGAATATTGTCACTAAACCACTAGATTTATTCCCCCCAACAGAAGTTATTACATATAAGAATAAAAAATAGTCTACAGATACGAGGCATGAAGATTTGTATTTTTAAACAATTATTTTATTCATCTTATTTGTTTGTTTTAACCAGTTACCCATGGGTGTATTGTTTCCACAATAAAACTTTTTCTACCAGATGGTATGGAAGCCCGACTCCGCTCAGAGTGAGTATAATTCAGTGCAATGAAGTTTTTGCATTAATTACCTTTGGTTAATAATATTCTAGACTAGGTGATACTGTTAATACTTCAGGATTATGCTAACAATGTTAGAAAATTTGTGTAGTACTTTTAGAATAATTGTTTTTCATTTTAGTTGTAATTCTAGTAATGGAGGCACAGTTCACTTTGTTTTCAAATTTAACTTTACAGTTTATATTTTGATGGGTAATTGTTTTCCAAAATATTTACAACATATAAATTACTAGTGAGTGATAACTGTGTTCATTTTGATCTTTGTTTAATATAGGACTTCTTAGACTATGATCGCCTCTGAGGTTAATGCCAGTGTTAAAATTTTATAGAACCTTAAGGATGTTGATATAGTTAGTAGCCCATGTTGGTGGGAGTTTTTGTAGGGATTTTTCAATGCTGTATTTTTTTTTAGAGAAGGAGAAACTTAAAGGGGAAAAATTAGAATCTAAATGTTAACATGTGAACAAGAACATTCTGACTTATACTTTTCACAGATTATCATGAAGTGTTGGAGGAAGCTAAACAGTCTTTAAATTTAAGCATTTTTTATTATGGCAGAAACCTCAAATATGCTAGAAGCTTGTTTCTTTGACATAATATTTTCTGTTTTTCAAAAGTAGAGAGAAAGATCTGAAGGTAGGAGGTTGAGAGAGGCAAAGTTGAAGGCAACGTATATAGAGCAGTGAGTAGGAAAGAGAAGGAAAAAGAAGGGAGAGGCCCTCCTATTACTATGATAGTCTGTGTATTTGTTAGAATTATATATTATACTTTAGTTCAAAGCTACCAGTATTTTTTTTAGTGTCAATGATATCTGAAGCAAAACAGAAATTTTTAAACATTATAAATTAAAACACTAATGTTTTCTATTCTAAACTATAGTTTAATTAAAAATAAAATTAACTTTGGCAATTTTAATGTGACTTACCTTTTATGAGTCCAGAGTTAAGATTTAAAAACTAAGAGTAACTATTAATCAACTCATGAAATAGTGGCTTCTTAATAGACCTTGATATTTGTATTTGATAATGAGATTTTCTTTCATTTAGTCAAAAGCTTTGGGCAATTACATAAAGGGTCACCTGTGTTCTCAAGTTTCACCTAGTAGGGCTTATGGATTTTTTCAGTCTATTTCAGAGAATTGTGTCCCCATCTCTCTTGTTTCTGCAGTGCTTTTCATCTTTGCCCCATTTCCTTTTCATTGTTTGGTTTTTCTTATGTGGGTAAATGTTAGCATCATTTAAAATTTACTGCCAATTTCATTATACATAATCTGGTTGATTTTCTGGACAAGATGAATTTTGAACAGGCAAGTCTCTCAGCTGGAGGAAGATGAGGAGGATAGTCCAATTCAAGACCTGTCTCTACCTATTCTGTGGCTTGACTAGGCCTTTGTTTTTTCATTTGAAAATGAAGATAATAATAATAGTACCTATTTAGCAGGAATTTTATGAGGAGAATTAAGCCAGACTGCGTACTTAAAGAGCTTCTCACAAAATACCTGGCATATAGTAAGCACATGATGTTTCTGTTATTGTGATCTAATATTTTTTAGCAATCAAGATGCTTTAAGATATGCCAGAATACTTAGAGCTTAAGGTACATTGCATACATAGCATTTAATGCTATAAAGGTCTTCAGTAGTTCTCAAAAAGTTGATTCTTTTTCTTCCTTGATTTTTATTATATTGCAGAAATAATTTTTTAAATTTTTATTTTTAAATCATGTTTATTCTATTACAGTTGTCTCAATTTTTCCCCCTTTGCCCTCCTCCACCCATCCCACCCCCTACCCCCACAGTCAATTCCCACTCTGTTGTCCATGTCTAATATGGGTCATTCATACATGCTCTTTGTTTAGCCCCTTCTCCATCTTTCCACCATTGTCCCCACAAATAATTTTTAATTGATAAAAAGACAAATCTTACCACCGTAATACTAAGTATTGATTTTTCTTTTCTACATTTACTGTTGCATGTGAACTTTTTCCATAATTCAAATAGAGTACACCCATATCTAAGAAAGTTTTTGTAAAATGCAGATATATCACTTATAAAATGTTTTGTTGGACTTTTGGTCTTTGTTATGATTTTCATGAGAACAGAATAAAATTGTACTTGATCACTAAGAAAACCAGATTTAAAAAAATTTCATTAATACTCTTTGTTTCAATGTAGACTTTTTAAAGTTCATTTCCCTATATACTTGTACTTAAAAGGATATATACCCAAAATGGTGTCTGGGTGCTGGCATTGGGTAATTTTTATTTATTTCCTCATGCTTCACACATTTTACATAATCAGTAGGTATTACTTTTATAGTCAAGAAGAAGAAACATGTTTAAAATGTCCGTTCCATTTTATGGGGTATAGAAGAACTAAAGTTGTACATAATTTTTTAAACCTTCATTATTAGGCAGCAGCTTTGTTAGGACCTTTTGATAGGTTCTAGGGACACAGGAGTGAATTAGTCACAGTGCTGGGGAACACAGATGTGAAATCAACAAAGCAGAGTAAATGGTTTTAAGGTCTCAGTGGGAGTCTGTACAGGATATCATCATAGGTGCTCCCAAGGGAGGTAGGTGCTGGTACTTAATAATCCTTGTGATTCATCATGTTAGTGTACGAATTGAAACAGTTCTTAGGATGTTTGCACTTACTACAATGGGATTAGAATTGTCATTCCTATTTTTAAATCCTGAAAGATCAGTTTCTCAGGAGCTGACATGTGTTTAACCAATTGAATCTAGGAATTTTACCCAGAAGACCTTCAAGCTGAGTGAGCTCTAGGATATGGAGTGATCAGCAACTGGTAGGGGAGATGGGTGGCATTCTTGGTTTTGCTCCCTCTACTCACCCCCAACCCACATACAGTATCTTACAGGACATTGCAAGATAGGAACTGAGTCTTCATTAGCTGCTGTGTTCTCATGGGAGTGGTAGTAGTGATCAAGGGCTACTGTATCCTACATACTGTTTTAAGCTCTTTATTTATACAGTATTAGCATATTTAATACTCATAATAACCCCATAGGGTTGGTTTGATGATTATTCCCATTGTATGGATGAGGAAGCTGAGGCCTATATATTTGCACAAGATTACACAGTTGATAAGTAGAGCCAGAATTTGGGCCCTGTCAGTATAACCTCTGAGCCTGCATGCTTAACTCAAAATACCGCCTCACTGTCAGTAGTACTTTATAAGGCCAAAAGACAGCACCAATGAATACTGTCTGTTTACTGTTTAGTTTTAAAGGGATATACTGCATTTAGTTTCATACCCACACGTAAGCTTTCAGTTGTTAGCTGTGTGAGGTGGCTGGGTGGAGAAGAGGAGTAGTATTTTGATTAGCAGAAGTTGTTCTACACTAGAACAAGCTTCCAGATTATAGCTCTCTTTTCACTAGAACTTTGCTTTTATTTAAGACTTTCTTAGTATAGGAATATTTAATTTTAAAAACTTAATTTATTTTGAAATGGAAAATAATTTTAAGGAATGTTCCTTTTCCATAAAGAAGTTCTTATGACCAAGGAATTCACCATAGCCCTTATTAAGTAGAGAACTCTTAAAGGTCATTTAATCGCTTTTGGATTTTGAATTTGTGTTTAGAAACATATTTTTTGTGAAAGGTGGATTTGTATACTTATTATCTTATTTTCTAAGAATTTATACATTTATGAAGGATTAAAAAATAATTCACATACTTTTAATCATATGAAGGCAAATTATATATTAACTTTGAGGTTTAAGATATTCCGGTACCATCATACTCTGTTTCCTCTATTGTCCGGAAATTAGATAAAAATTCTAAATTTTACTTTTCAGTGTCATCCATGCTCCATTACCAAGTCCTGTTGACAAAGTAAGTTGCTAATGATTATTTTTTACAAACTAACTGAGCTATATTACTTTGTTTTTGATATGCTTCACCTAGAAAATTATTTCTCTTTTGTAACAAAATCTATAGAGTGTATATAGCTATATAGTTACTGTAGTCTTCTGATCTTCAATATCTGGAGAATTTAGGATGGGTGTTTCTTAGGAAAAAGCCTTTGTACCTTAAGTAAATGGCTGTGTAGACTAGGAGTACTTGTGTGGTGCCTAGCCAGAGGTAAGATGTGTTAGTTACTACTCTTTATAATGGAATACAGTTCTGTCAAGAAATATTTATTAAAGTTTTCTGGCCAGAGAGTTCACTCAGCATATGGAAATGACGCAGAAATATGGTTATAGAAATTCCTCTTTTATTGTCCTTGAAGATGAGTTTTAGCCTGATTTGGGTCAGGAACTTTGCAATAATTACTGGTTAGAAAATATTTTTTCTTCTGTTCAGAAATAATGGAACATTAAACTGTAGATATCATTGCTAAATAGTGAGGAAAAGAGCCCCAACATCTTTTGTACCTTTTGACATTAATGTCGATGTGAGCTTTCTTAGTGCAGTAACGAAACTATTGGGGGAAATATTTTACATTTTTAACTTACATTTGAATAAAGAATGAAAGCCTGCTTGAAACTGAAGTTCTATGTTAGATTTCTTAGAAGTAAAAATGGTTAATCATCAACTTCAGCAATACCAAGAATGATTTCAGAAGTAAATGATGGCCTTGCTGATTTAGGACTAACTTTAAAAAAATAATGCTACCTCTCTGTCTTCTAGTTAGCATATTAATAAAAGTATACTTTCTGAGCCTAATCAAGAATGATTCTATTAATAATCATTAGTAACTTAGTAATGATATGATCATTAATAAGTTGAGATACAAGACTTGTAGCATTGAGGAAGTGGGTAAATGTTACAGCAACCTATAATTGCCCTTCCTTAGTTTATTTGTTGTTGTTTGTAATAATGCCATGGTTTTATATTCCGCACTTGAGAGAAACCCCTTATAGAAGTTATTTGTTCTTGTACTCTCGAGTCTTAATCATCTGACTGTAATTTGTAATGTTTAAACACCATTATTTCCTGTCTTTTTCTTCTTAAAACCTACCTGTAGTGTAAAGGGTAAAAAAGGATAAAACTGTTTTCATTACCTTCGTAATTGGACACAGTGTTATATTTCATGTTCTGTCTCTCCCCTAACCCCCACATGCAAATACCATTTTGAAGATGGCTGCTTCTAAATGAATTGTGACTTATTAACATATTGAAGAGCTAGTTAAATATAAATTTGAACGGTGGGAAATGTAGATCCGTTGATTCAGAAGGTTTTATTTCTGGATTAAGAAAAGGCTATAATTTTGTGATTTGGTTTATTAAGGAATATTTTCATGAGTAGCACTTGTTCCATCACCCTGCTTATAAATGTCAAACTGGTTAACATGATAATACCATTTACAAATTTTAGACATAGGACAGAAATATTTTGAAAACTAAAGGAACTGGTTAAATTGAAAAATAATTTTTTTATTTTGCATATGTTAGTAAATTGGCACTTTAAGGACTTGGTTTGGCTTTAATGTCTCTTACAAATATTTTGTGTGACTATTAACACTATGTCATTTTGTTTCTAGGTTGCTGCTAACACTCCAAGTATGTACTCTCAGGAACTATTCCAGCTTTCTCAGTATCTACAGGTAAAAGTAAATCTTGAGAATTCTTAGTATTTAAAAGCAAAATTGGCAACTTAGGTTTGACTTTATTAGTTCACAACTACAGGCTAAAGAAATACTGGTTGGCAACAAGTACGAAATACATACACACACATAAAACTCCTTATATATCTATATACATAAGAAGTTTTTACCTTCAAATATGAGGAAGTTCTGAAAAAAGTTCTTTATCTATAGATGACTTTTAAATAAAATTAAACCTGGAGAAATGTTGGTTGCTGATAATAGCAGATAATTATATAGCACTTACTATTTGCCAGAGTCTAGCCAACCACTTCACCTAATTAATTCATTTAGTCTTCACAACAGTCTTATGAGATACGTATTTTATTCCCATTTTTAAAGGTGGAGTAACTGAGAGACAGGAAGGTTAAATAACTTATACATTATCACATACCTAATATGTGGTACAGTTGAAATTTGAACCCAGGCAGTCAGACGTCAGAGCCTCTCTGACTCTGCTGTGCTGCTGGATCTATAAAAAGATTTCTTGGTAGGGCAGATACTTGGAATGGAATTTAATACCATACTTAAAGAGCCATACAAATCTCTAAAAAGGAAACAAATGCTATTTTGTTTTCTAGTTTTGGGAGATTTGGGCTGGATTATGGTTCTTATTAATCTGAGGAGGGAACATGGTTAAGGAAAACCCTGGATCAGGAATTTAAAGATTGCATTGCGGTTTTTATCTTGGTTTGGCTACTCAGTGAGTTCTATGACCCTGAGTGAGTTATTTTACATGTGGAGGTCTTCAGTTGCCTTTTCTTTAAAACAATAGGACTAAAAGAGTGATCCTAGGGTCCTTCATTCTTTCGTAGGAATCAATCAGCAAGAACAGTACCACCTCAGTTAAGAATGTATACATCTGTGAAAAGAAACAAAATTATCACTGTGTTAATCAGATCTCATCTTCTACTGGGCATAATGTAATCATGCATAGAAAAAGCAGCTTTACACACTTGGAGTTTACCAATAGAGCATTTCAAAGCGTAGACTCTAGCTCGAATTCCCTGGATTTGATGTGTGGCTTTAACTTCTAACCCTTTGAGAAAGTTGTTTAACCTTTTTATACCTCATTTTTCTCATCTGTGATATGAGTATAATAATAGCACCTCACAGGATTGTGAAGAATAAATAAATTGGTATATATAAAGCACTTAAATCAGTGCCTGGTACATGGAATGTATGCCGTAAATGTCAGTTGTTTACCATTCAGTAGAGAGGCACACTAATTGATCTAGATCTCTCTTATATAAAGAGGTAGAAGTAAACTTTGAGATTAATTTAGTCTAACCTTCATTTTTTTCATATGAGAAACCTGGGGCTCATGTAGGTAAAATGATTTCCCAAGGCTATACACTACTGTTATTAGACATCATGGACAGTAAATCTAACACCCTGACTCACTCTAGTAGTCCTTCAAACTTTCTTATCAGTTTTTAAAATATCCATAGTAGGCATAATATTTCAGTGTTTTTTTTTTTTTACTAATTTGAGAGAATATTATATTCCACTGTCTTTTCCATACACATCTCTTTGAATTGCTAAAGTTCTAATGTAAATTGTAAATCTTTTGAGTAAAAACTAGTATAGATGCAATTCATGCCTTAGAACTAAACACCCATTCCTGGAAATATTAGATTTCTGTTGGAATGTGGTTCATGGAGTTATGAAACTTTACTAAGTGAAATTGAGTTTTGGTGGTGTTTTTTTTTTAGGTGAAATTACACCATCTAGTGGAAGTAGTAGTTGTTAGTGTTTTTGTGTTTCAGAAAAACTTTCTGCAGCATGAGTGCAATTTCCTGAATATTAGAAATGTTTAAAATAAACTTGAAAACGAGTCTTTTGTAAGTGTAAGCTGTGGTTTAATGTGGGTTCTGGGCAGGATAGCTTTTATTAGATTCCTTAATCTGTTCTTTTAGAGTTATATTAAAAAACAGTACCTCTAACTCTAATTAGACCAGGTTTACCCTAACCATTATTTATCAAGGATGTGGAGAGCAATAAGTGCATGCTTTAAACCTCAAGAACCGTGTTTGAAGTATATACTTCTCTTTTGAGGTGGCTCAGAGATATTAGCATAGTAAGTGTTCTTTAGGTAATGACAGAAAACGAAGTGAAATTTAAAGGTGTGCCAAAACCACAACTATGTGAGTATTTTCACCTTGACTTCCAGTGAAGGAGACCATCTTAACAGTTGTCAAATGTTAACAAATGACCTAGAGATAAGACTTTACTCACTAATGTCTTTCTCTGTGAAAATATTTCTTTGCAGCTGCCAAGTAGTTATATAACTCCTTGACCCCTTAATTACATTGAACAAACCCTTGGAGTCTTATTTTTGGTATATTTAATTGCTACTAAGTGATATACAGTCATAGAATCAGAACATCAGAAAATGCAATAGCCTTTAAAATTGAAGCAGTTTCTCTTTTTTAAAATAGTGTGTGTGTGTGTGTGACATTTTCAGCAGGATAAATGAAAAGATTTTTGTTTTCGCTGTCATACCTGTGCAGCTAAGACATTAAAAAGTATTTGCTACTGCCCAGCCAGTGTGGGTTACTTGGTTGGAATATCATCCCAAACACCAAAGGATTGGGGATTCAGTTCCAGGTTAGGGCACATGCCTAGGTTGTGGGTTTGATCCTTGATCAAGTGCGTTTTGGGGGCAACCAATAGATGTTTCTCTCTCACATTGATGTCTTTTTCTCTCTCTCTAAAATCAATAAACATTTTATTTTTTTTTTGAAGATTTTATTTATTTTTAAAAGAGAGGGGGGGAGAGAGGAAAAAGAGAGAAACATCAATGGACTGCCTATCACACACCCCCCAACTAGGGGCCTGGGCTGCAACCCAGGCATGTGACCTGACCAGGAATCAAATTGGTAACCTTTACACTTTGCAGCACAACACCTAACCCACTGAACCACACCAGTCAGGACAGTAAACCTTTTTTTTTTTTTTTTTTTTTAAGTATTTGCTACTGACCAGATTGCTTTGGTTTAATTTGGAATGAGATTGATAGTTTGTTCTGAGATTTATTGGTTGATTAATTGTATTGATTGATTTTTATAAAATTCAAGATTAAAACATTTGGTGGATTCTTTAACTGTGGATGCTTTAAAAAAAACTCTGTGAATTGTGTGTAAAAGAAATCAAGAGGACTTGTTTTCTTTTATAGGGGAAGTTGCAGCTAGAGCACCCCTAATGATAGTACTTACAGCCCAACAAATGAGGCTAAAATGGTACGGCCTATATATATTGTACAGAGTAGATTTATCAAGTTTGAAAGTAAGATACAGAGTGGAATATAATATGATCATATTTCAGAATGTGCTAAAAATTGCTTATTTATTCTTCAAAGGAATTGTGCTGAGTTTATTAGAATCTCTTTTGTAATTTGTAATATTAGGAGGCCTTACATCGGGAGCAGATGTTGGAACAGAAGTTAGCCACACTTCAGCGGCTACTAGCTATCACCCAAGAGGCTTCGGATACCAGTTGGCAGGTATTCCAGTAGCCTTTATTTTCAAGAAGCACTTAAGCATAGTTTAATATTACCCATAGGTGTTGATTAAGCTAAGACTAAAATTTTGTAGCAAGCAAAATTAAAGTTTTTTCCTAATGATCAAATACTGAAAATGTAGCATTTTACACTGGATATTGATCAGTTTTATGATTTTCTTTTTCCTTTTTTTTTTCCTAGCAGTAGCAGTCTTTTTCATGTGTTATTTTTCAGTTACTCTGGGATTTTACTTATATTTGATTTTTCTTCAACAGGCTTTAATAGATGAAGATAGACTCTTATCACGATTAGAAGTTATGGGAAACCAATTACAGGCATGTTCCAAAGTAGGTATTAATCTCAAGTATATAAAGAAAAATGCATAGTTTTTAATGTCACTTCATTTCTTCGTCATTTTGAGTACATGATAAAACATTTATACATGTTCACCATTCTTTTAAATCTTTTTCTCATGGGAAATTTTAAACATGTAGAAAGAATTATATAATGAATACCTGTGTACAACCCTTTGTCTTTTTTTATACCACAGTTGATATTTTTTGGAGAATCCAGGTCATTTGTCCTGCATAATTTCTCACATTCCGGATTGTTATTTAAACATTCTACTAGCTCCTCCTCCCACACCATAAATTTATAGTTTGAGCTAGGGATTTGATCTGATTTAGGTTCAGTTTCTTTGGCAGAACACCTCATGAGCGATACTGTATACTTTCACCAGGAGATACTATGTCTTATTGTCTTTCTTTTTGAGATATTAGCAATCATTGATGAGCCTTGCCTAGATCCATAACTCTATTAAGGGTTGCAAAAATGATGATGTAATTTCGTCATTGCCTTCATTTATCAGCTGGATTACTTATGTAAAAGAAACTTCTTATAAACCATTTTGTTCCCCTGAGGTTCGTTTTCTTTAGGAAAAGCGGGATAAGTGTTCTTGTCCCTTTATTTACTAAATTTCAAAATAATGAACTGGTTCCTTCTCATCCACCAAAGAACAATCATGGACTATTTTTTTCAACTGAGATTTAAATATATTTGGTATGTTTTGACCTATTGGATTTGTTTTTCTTATTGATACTCAAATTACCCCATCTTTGATCCATAGAACTTCTTCATGTTGGCACGTGAGCCCTTTTGATAGAACTCTAGCAGATTTGATGGCTTCCTGCTGTCATATCAGACAAGATATTCCAGGCTCATCTTGTACATTTCCTGTCTCAGACTAGGAATCAACTCTTCCCTGTGGTGCTTGTTTGTTGTTGTTGTTGTTGTTTAACCATTGTTTTAAAATGCTTGGGCCCTTTGAAGGTAATAGATTATTTTTGTCCACAATTGTAAATATTGGGACTTTCAGAGAATATGAAAAATAGAAGAGATAATTGAGTTTGTGTATTTGAGAGAAATTTTCAATTTTCTTTTTTTTTGGAAGTATGAGTTAATATATTTATAAAGGCATAATTTACTAATGTACCTTTAAAAAAAAAAGATCTTATTTATTTTTAGAGAGAGGGGAAGGGATGGAAGAAGAGAGGGAGGGAAACATTGATGTGCAATAGAAACACCAATGGGCTGCCTCTTGCACACCCCCATCCAGGACTGGCCTGCAACCCAAGTATGTGCCCCAACCAGGAATGGAACAGGCAGCCTTTCGCCCTGCAGGATAACACCCCATCAATTGAGCCATGCCAGCCAGGGCTACTAGTGTACCTTTTAAATACAGCTTCAATTAATACAGGGCCAACATCATTTGTGTTTGGAGGTATCTTAATACAGAATTCAAAGAGCATCATAATGTGTTGTTTTTTTTCAAGTGGTAAATACTTTAAAAAAATAATTTATCTGTAATTATAAATATCTTTTAATCCTAGAATCAAACAGAAGATAGTTTACGGAAGGAACTCATAGCATTACAGGAAGATAAACACAACTATGAGATGACAGCCAAAGAGTCCCTGAGGCGGGTTCTTCAGGAGAAAATTGAAGTGGTTAGAAAACTCTCAGAGGTGGAGGTATTTCAACTTAACAAATATTAAATACTAGTATGATTTTAAACTTTTAGCATAAAATCACTAATATTTCAGGATATTTTAAACTTGGGTATTATTATATAGCTAGGAAATATTTTCTGTCCTTCATGTGGGAAGGAGCAGTATGTTGTTTTCATTGTCAGGAATTCTTAACATAACCAATATAACCATGTGAGTTCTGGTGCTTATGATCCCGAGTCTTACTGAGGAAATAAAAGCCTAACCATGGCATCTTATTATTTACATTCTGCTTAGGATTCATCCTCTACAAAACGGGCTGTGATATATGCCAGGGAATTGAGCTCCTGCACCTTAGTTTGCTTTTCTTCCAGTTGAGAATAGTCAGTATAAGGCAGAGAATTTATACCAATTGTTCTTACTTTACCCATCCTTCAGAGAGGATAACTGTGTCTTAACTTTAAAGGTTCAAAGGGGAAATTATCTCTAACGTCCTTTCTAAGTCTTTTACAAACAATATGTGATTCTCATTGCTTTAAAAACAACCTTATTGATAACACGGATCATTCCTTTGAACCAATGTAAAATTACCACAGAAGTTATCAGTTAATGGATTTAGTAAAATGCCCATTGTAATACTAAATAGTACACATACCTTCATATAGGGATTATTTCTGTAATAGCCCCATCCCACAGTGACTGATTCACTGTCATGTCATTAACTTGACATGCAAGCAAGAAAGTTGCTACCTGTTTTATAAATTCTTATTAAATTGATCACTGTGTATTATTAAACTTGCTTTTAAGGATTGATAGGCTTAAAATATTTTCAAAACTAAATAAAAGTCATGCTCAATGACTTTCATGCTCAATACTTGAAAAAGTATAATTATATAAAGGTAGCATTCTCTCCTCCCTGTTCCTGTTTTGTGTGTTTTTGTTTTAAATTCTTAGTTACATTTTGTTTTAAAATGTACCTTGAGTAAACTCAAATCCTTACATTATTTAAATCAATGGCTTGTAAACTTGAATTGCAGCGAAGTCTGAGTAATACTGAAGATGAATGTACCCACCTGAAAGAAATGAATGAACGGACTCAGGAAGAATTAAGAGAATTAGCCAATAAATATAATGGAGCAGTTAATGAGATTAAAGATTTATCTGATAAATTGAAGGTATGTATTTACTCAACCTGAAAGTAATTAAGTTAATTGGCTCTAACTTACTGGATAGCTTAAGAATTTAGGTATTGCTGAACAGTTGCTGATGTAAAATTTGGTAATGGTTGAAATTTATAGTAAAAATGAGGTGCTTATATTCCATTTACCAAACCCCATTGCCATCGATAATTGAAAGTTTATAAAAGCTGGCATAGCTCTTTGGAAATCAGTAGTACTTTACAATAGGCAGCAAAACCAAGATATTCAGACTTTTTTTTTTTTTTTTCTTAACTTGAATCTGCGTATCTTTAGGCAGTTCCAAAGCAGGGCCCAGCTGTTAGTGCTGGACCAAATCCAGAGAGAACTTTGAAATGATCTGCTTAAACCCTATAGCTTCCTAGGGGTGCTTTTGACTCTGTTTTCAGCTTCAGTTTGCTGTAGCTGTAGGACACGTAGGATAAGGACAGACCAAACCATATGTAATAGCAAGTTGGTCCTTTAACATGTTGTAACTGAGTTTGTGAAGACCCATCTTTACATAATTCAAACCATGGATTGAGTGGCTAGAAGAGACACATTTGTTAGGGCATACCTCCCCTCTCATGTACTTCGTTAACCTATAGTAGTTTTAAAGGTTGTTAAATGAGGTTATTTTGAAAAGTGCTTGTAACCATTACTTCTTTAGCTAAACATAATTGTGTTTAAAATTTCAGAACAAGTTATATTTTAGAATTTATAAACTAATTACAACAATAGTAATTTCATAGGAAAACCTTATTATCCTCTTTAAAAATCTGTTTTTCATCTTGATCACTTTATCTCTGTGTATTGAGCCTGCTTACTTGCTGCAAGTTTCTGCTCTCCCCACCCCCAGGTGATATGGAGGCATTATCCTAATGTAGATCACTTTTGACATCATTTTGATATTTACAAATATGTTCTATAATATTGAATATTCTCCTTAGAAGTTTTATGACTAAAAGCAGGCAGTTCTCTAGTTTTCTTAAAAGAAGTTAAGATTTTATTAAATAACTGAATTTTCTGTTTCTTTCTCCACAGGTAGCAGAGGGAAAACAAGAGGAAATCCAACAGAAAGGACAAGCTGAGAAAAAAGAATTACAACATAAAATAGATGAAATGGAAGAAAAAGAACAGGAGCTCCAGGCAAAAATAGAAGCTTTGCAAGCTGATAATGACTTCACCAATGAAAGGCTAACAGCTTTACAAGGTAAATTAGTGAATCCATAAATTGATTTAATTTGATTTTTTTTCCTTTTTATCTGTGAAATATCTTTTTTTGGACTTTTATTTACAGTACGGTTAGAACACCTTCAGGAGAAAACTCTTAAAGAATGCAGCAGCTTAGGTAGGTGTCATCAAATTTCTTAATTAAAGCTGAATTTTATCATTAAACTTTTGATGTTTGCTATCTCACATTGGTTACTTATTTTCTTTTAGAGTGATGTTTTACATATTAGGTATAAAGTATCTATATTCCTTTAGAAAATTTCCTTTAAAAATATGCTTGATGGCCACCAGTGGGCACCATTGTTTAGTTCTTTGAGATAAATGAAATTTCTCCATCTGAAACACATGACTTAGAGATATTTAAGTGAGAAAAATACATAGACACCAGGATCCTCTTTAATTTTTTTGAGGCTCATTGAAAGACTACTGAACAGTTGTAGGCTTTTCTCTGAGTTGCTAGAGGATGGCAAGTTGAACACTTCTTGTAGAAATAAATTTCAAGTATTCTATACAGTCTTAATTTAAGTAGGCTTACAAAATGTCATGGTTACACTTGAGACCAGTTTTAAAGTAATGCTTTCTTTGATCAGGCAATGATGCACTGTCTTAATCCTAGGGATACAAGTTGATGACTTCTTACCTAAAATAAATGGGAGCACAGAAAAAGGTAGTGTAAAAAACTTAAATATTTTTCTTTCATGATATCCTTTTACTATTTAAGCAGGATAGAGAGGTCAGGGTTTTAAGGCTTTAAGTGTTTGGAATGAAAAGCATGCTTTTCATAAACCATTGAATCCCTTTGTTTTGTAATTCTTAATGCTATAAAAATCTATGGTTGGGCATCCTTTGTTATATGGCAATTTTGGTTATTCAAATAATAAGAAAATAATATACCTTTTCCCCCCATTACATTTTTCAAGGAACTATAATTTTCTTTCATCACTGCTCCTGGGAATAATTGGCCCCTGTTTCTAATATTTGTGCCCCAGTTTACAGTTTACCTAACAGCCCATTGAGCCCTTGGGCATATCATAGAAATTGCTTTTCTTGTTCATTTGTTTCATTGATCAAAGAAAACAGCGTCATTCATTTCTGCCATATGAAAAAAATCCTTTATTACTTCTTGGTACTGTGATCCTTCTTTCTGGATAGTTTGGATTATCTCTTGTCAAAAGTTTATAGCCACTATTGGTTTCCCTACTACTACTACTACTACAATGGGGTACTTTTACCCAATGGCTTCGAAATTCCTTCAGTCGCGAAGATACCTATACACTCCTCCTTTCCCCACCTATCCAGCATTAACTGAGTACCAAATATGTGCCAGATTGAGCATTAGATGCCTGGAGTACAGAATGAATAAAACTGTTTTCTATGTTTGCAAATCTATGTGCCTCTCAGCTCAGTTTGTATACAGAAGTTAGTGGAAGATAGCAAGGTTGGTACCCAGAACTTCTTATTAAATATTTTTTTTCCATGTATCAGGGGATATCTTTATAGCTCTTGGGTGGCAATTGCATTCTGATAAAGTTAGGAGGTACTTTTTTTATTGTTTTGTTTTTGTTTGGTTGTTTAGTTTTTAACCAATTACTGACAAAATTAAGTTCAGGTAATCATGTATATGTAAGCCACAAAGTCATGATCTAAATATTGAATATACAATGAATTTTGAAACTCTAACTTTTAAAAAAGCTTTAATAATCATTGTTATTTGACTACTCTATATATTTTGCAAAATACATTGACATTTTAAAATTCCAGTTTGAGTTTCAATTAAGAATTTTTAAAGGTGTAGTTTATATTCATTTTACCAATATTACTAATTTCTGTTTCTTAAGTATATTTAGCAACATAGGTAAAATGACTTAATTCTTAACTTCTAAAAGCTTGTCATCCTTAAATGAATTTATGTTTTCTGTTATTATTTTGCTCGTTTATTCTCTGTCTGGCATGTATACTTTTTATTCAAGTCCATCACCCTTTTGATTTGAGCATGCATATATTAATATTAGTGTTAACTCAAGCTGGGAACATTCTATTCCTTCAGTTTAAGAGAATCCTTTTATACATACTGAACCATCTTTATATTATTTAGAGCTGTCACATTACTGCTTAATTTTTTTGCCAGTTCCAATAGATGTATATAAAAATAATTGAGGACAACTCCTTGATTTAAGACTGAATAAGATATTTTGGATACCTTAAGGTATTCCTTGCTGTAATTATTTTTCCCTTGCTGGTGTGTTTGTCTCTGAGGTGTTGATAAATTGGGTAGTGTGAGATGACTAATTGAATGTCTTTAAAGAAATTGAGGCCCTGGTTGGGTAGCTCAGTTGGTTAGAGTATCATCCCAATATGCCAAGGCTGTGGGTTTGATCCCCAGTCAGGGGACACCCAGGAATCAATCAACAAGCGCATCAGTAAGTGGAACAACAAATTGATGTTTTCTTCCTTCCTCTCTCTGTAAAAGTAATAAGTAAATAAATTTAAAGAAACAGTAGTAAATATCTGGATATGCACACAAGTTTCATTACACTAGATTAAGTTACAAAGTAGAATCTGGAATAAGGTGAATCTGTTCTGAGTCACTTGTGATAACGTAACAAACCAGTTATCAAATACTCCAATTTACCAAAGTCCATAAATACTGAGTTGTTAGATATGATTTTAACTAAAATTACTCTTTAAATGGTAGTAAGACAACCAAGTACAGATGTAAGAGAATATTTCAAAAATGTCTGGAGATAATAAGATTAAAATTTCTTCAGTAAACCCCATTTCTGAAATTAAATCTAACATAGTTGCTAAAAATACAGGATTGTACTGTAAATTTTTAAATACCTTATCTAATAAGCATAATTTAATACATTTTAGCAGGCATAGAAAAGCACTGTCTAATACAAATATTGTGAGGGCCATGTACGTAATTTTTTTTTCTCTTATACCATTTTCAGACACCTTAGTGACCTCAGTGTCTTTAAGGCTTATAACATGGCTTTATTATCGCCAGCTTTCTCTAAATTTCTGCAGGAAATTCACATGAGACCCACATACATAACTTAAGTTTTTTTGGTCACTACACTTAAATACGAAAAGAAACAGGTAAAATCTTAACAATTTATTTTAATAATATAGTTAATTTAACCCACTATATCCAAAATATTGTTTTAACATGCATCAATATTAAAAGATTATAAATGAAGTATTTCACGTTCTATTTTCTTAGTAAGTCTATATTTATTTTACATTTACAGCACATCTCACTTTTTAAGGCCTCAGTAGTCCCATGTAAATTAATGGCTACTATCTTGAACAACACAGGTATAGAAAATCAAAATCCATAGGAAACTCATATGTATAAATAAAACACATTTTAAGTATCGTGGTTCTCTGTTATGTTTCTGTATTTGTATTTTTCTTTATTCCTCAACCCTATTTAGTATTATGATACACTCCCCTCCCCCGCTCCTTTCGGATTATCGGTGACATCTTTTATATTTTGGCAAAGTGAGTTCCCAAGGGCTGGAATTCAAGTAATGGCATATTAAAAGTGTCATGATCCATATCTTTTACATATATTATCTGAAAGACATTTCTCTCATGTGTTTCCGGAAATGCCTTTGTGCAAGTCATATATATATATATATATTTGTTTTTCATATTAATCTTGCATTTTATCTAAACTGGCATAGCAAACATTTTAATGTAGGGTCCTGATATTAAAATCAGAGTACATAAAAGGGTAATTTTTGGTTTAGTGACTGATAGTGGGTGGTCCTGCATTAATAAATGCCATATAAAGTCCTGTGATGTTAGTTTGAAATTTGGTTTCAGATAAGTTTTATAAAGTCCTTTAGTTGGGTTAAAATTTGTTTCCAAATGAGTTTTCGTATTGAATAGGGATGTTTGTATAGTTTGAGTTCTAAAAATGTTATAGCTTAGATAGGATTTATGTAAAACAACTTTTTCTATTGTACTAATCACTATTCAAGTGAGGACTTCTGTCTTGGAATGTTTGGCTCCAACTGGCAAAAACTATTGATTAGCCCTTTTTAAATTTCAAATTTCTCTTGCAGTTAGTCTTTTTTTTCTTTTTCTTTTTGGGGCTATATTGTGTCTCTAGGTATTAATGCATTGGTCTATAAAACATGAGTTTTGTCAACATTTCTTCTCATGTTCTTACTCTGATAGTGACTGTTGAATGGAGGCTCTGCAGACATGTAATGAGATAAAAAAACAATGATAAATTTGAGTATGAAAGTGGAGAAGGCTGTCAATAAGCATGTCAAGAGAGGCTGACGCGTGATCAGAGTAGGAGACGGCTGCCTCTCAAGCAAAGTTGAGATGGAGGAGAAGAGAAAAAAGGCTTTTACAGAGTGGTACCAACTCTCTTTGACCTGACATTGTCCTCTTTGATAGGTTTTGGTGCTTTCAACACTTTCTAGATAGTCATCATGTTGGAGTATATTTTTTAACAGTTAACTTTGTAAGTGTATTTGGTAGTTATTAAAGATAAAAATATGTAATTGAAGGATGTTATCCACATTTAGAAATTAACTCTTTGAATCAAAGTGTAAAGACTATTATAGTAAAAGGGCTAAAACTGTTATTAAACTACAGTTAGATTTTAATTCTCTGCACCCATTACAAAACAAACAAACAAAAAACAAATTCTCTTTGACCTGGGGAAAACTATTTACCAAGCTCTTATTTTAAAATATGCAGACATTAATTTTAATCATTTGGACAGAGATAAACAATATAGTGTTTCGATTGTATATGAACTGCAGATTAAGTGACTCAAAAGGAAAGACTGTGAAATGAAAGTGTAAAAATTAAAATACTGCATCATTTTCTTTAAAATTTTAAGGCATTATTTTATGGTATTCTTAAAATACCTTTCATCTTACTAAGATGAGTAGTTTTGAAGAGGGACTGTTAGAGAACAGTCATTTGAAAATTTAGTAAGAACAAATGTAAAGTTTTGAAATTAAGGTTTTTTATTAAGTTCTCATGGAGAAAGGTGTATTTTAAAAGTGTTACAAACTTTTTAAAGCAATATATTTCTATGGTTTCCTTGAGCACTTTGGATAGAAACTACACCTTTAAAAACTAACCATTCAGGGTATAAATTAATGATTATGTAACTACAATTTTCACTCATTTCACTTTATTTCACTCCAAAATATGACTACTCTTATTAGTCAAATATATTAAAATTTTATTAATCTCCTTCAGAGTTACCTGTTGAAACATTTCAGTTTTTCTAACTTTGCTGTTGGTTTTCAAAAACAGCAACAAACTATATCCTTAAAGGTGTTTCTTTCTTTATTAGAGCACTTGCTTTCAAAGAGTGGCGGGGACTGCACTTTTATTCATCAATTCATAGAATGCCAGAGTGAGTACAGAGTATTTTTCACATCGATTTTAATGAAGTCAGGCTATTATTGAAAAATGAGAGGAAAATAAAGATCTCAGTATGTTTGTTGTAGCAGTGCGCAAAGGACCGTCTTCAGACAGCACTGAACTTTTTCTTACTGTTTATGTTTCTCTCTTTTGAAAAAAATATTTCTGTTGCATTCACCCTCACAGATGGAGGTGAACATTTCGTATTGCCCACAAAAAAAGAGGAAGTTTCAAGCTTATTAATTAAAAATCATTATTGAGCAGGGAATAAAAGAGAATGTCAAGAACCTAAACTTGAGATAGTAATAACCTTAACCTGTTTCACTTAAGATTTGAATTTTGAGGTTCTTAAATAAATTTCTTAAATGAAGTACAAAACAATGATTTAGTTTGGGCACTCAGATGTAAAGATGACCTTTAGAGTAGCAGGAGCTTTCTAGTGAAGCAGTAGCAACAGATTGTCCTGTAGGCTGACATCAACGGCCTCCTCTTGGGAAGGTATACAAGGCTATCTTTAATACTGTGTTTTAAAAAATAATATTTTCCCTGGACAGGTGGCTCGGTTAGTTGGAGCATTGTCCTGTACACCAAAAGGTTGCGGGTTTCATTCCTGGCCAGGGCACACACTTAGGTTTCCGATTCTGTCTTCAGTTGGGGAACATAATAGGAGGCAACCAATGACATTTCTCTCTCTCTCTCTCTCTCTCTCTCTCTCTCTCTCTCTCCCCCTCTCTCCCCCTCCCCCTCCCCCTCCCCCTCCCCCTCCCTCCCTCCCTCTCCCTCTTCCTTCCCCCCAACCCCCCATCTCCTCCCCTCTCTCCTTTCCCTCCCTCCTTCTCTCTCTCCCACTGTCCCTGCTTCTCTCTCTAAAAGCAGTAAACATATCCTCAGGTGAGGACTTAAAGAAACAATAATAATATTTTAAAGATAGATAGGTTGGTTTTTGAGTTGATTTAGATCTCTGCTGAATTCTGAACAGAGTATTGTGAATTCCCTCTTCCTTGAAAATTATGTGGCTGTTTAAATTTGTAACAGTCACAAGGTTGAGACATTCTCTTGATCTTGTTAGTGACAATTAAAGGTTACTATGTGTAGTAAAGTTCATTGAAGATACCTAGTTTTTCCTATCAGACAAACTCTGTCAGACAGTTTTCTTTTCTCCCTTTTTTAAAAAATGAGTGGTTTTCAAAGTTTTTATGCTCATGAACTCATTTTGTGGTTGTGCTCACATGTGCTGTGCTTCCCACCCCCCCAAAATCAGAGCACTTGAGGGCTGTAAGACTTACATGCCTGGTAATTACAGGAGATACAAACTCAAGAGATCAAATGTTACACTCCTTAGAAATGCTTTAAGCGATTTCTTCAGTAGTTTTTAAAAGAGCTTCTGTTTTTGTCCATTTTAGAGACTATAATATTGAATGTAACTTTAATGTTACTTTGAGGCAAATTATTTAATAAATATGACATTTCTTTGTCCTTTAAATTTGTTTTGAAAAAGTGTTTCTCATAAAGCAAAAATAAATGTATCTTTTTATCTTTTTATTACTAAATCACACTTTTGCAAGAAATTGGAACAGTAATTTGGGACAAAATAATTGTTACCCATGAAATCAACTAAAAGCAATATATAAAATATAAAATATAAATCTTTAGGAGAAGGATTTTATATTTAGTTTTATTATGTGTAACCATGTTTTAATATTATTTTTGTTTTGAACTTTTGGGATTTATATTTTGAGCCCCCAAAAATAAGAACCAAGAAATATCAAAGGAATGTTTTACTCAGTTACAATTTGTAAAAATTGTTTAAAATATTATAAAATGTGTAAAATACTTAGCTGTAGTTAATGCAGAACAAAGTTTGTTTTAAGGAAAAAGGTGTTCGAAGACTTTTACTGAGTCATTAGTTTCAGGGAGAAAATAGACCAAATAAATATTCAGAGTTAGAACAGAAATCACTTAAATTACAGCAATCCCCTCAGTGGGGATATTAGCCAATAAAACATTTGCAGGGACTATGTAATGGCTTGGGAAAATGCTAAATGTGATACATTGGAGTTGGGGTGAGGGATAAGAATACAGAATCCTGTACTTGTGGTAAAAGTGTGAACCAAAAAAGAGAAGAAATAAAAAAGTATTTCTAGACATTTGAATCCATTTGATCCCTAAGTGCAAGTTATGAAAGTTGGACTATAAGCTCAGGAAGCTAGGGATATAGCCCATTATATAAATCTGTTTGGTTCCTGAGTTTTAGTAATAAGAGTCTGGTTAATGAGGATATCCATTTTATATCAAAAATTTCCATATCTGTTTAGCTCCTTAAATTTGGATAGCTAGAGTTGGTCTAGTTTGATTTTTTTGTCACAAAGGAAATTTTCGGGGTTTTTTTTATGACAAGCTACCATTGTAGAAATTGTTGTATTTAATAAGTATGTCAAGCAAGGTAATTTCAGCAAAAATCTTCCTCAAGTGACCTGAAACGATTTTGGATTATTGTTTGACGAGTGCAAGCTTTTTTACTATTACTTTTTTTTTGATAAGCATCTTAAACTTATCTATAATCATGAACATGAAGTATATATTCTGTGAACAGTGACCCTTCGTATTCTTGTTTCCAGTTTTTTATAAACAGAATATTAAATACATAGCTTTCACTATTTATTGTGCTTGTGTAATATATGTTCACTTTGTGTTTAAAAAATTAGAAAGTGAATAGTTAACTTCCATAGTATTCTGCATGTCTATTTTTAATTTATTGAGAGATGTTTTTCAGTTTATATGTATGAATCCATAAGAGATGATTTGGTGGTTGGTTCTCTAAATTATTTCGTGATTTTGAGGAAATTAAATGTGTTGGATCACATTTCATTTTGCTTTCTTTTTATGGTAAAACACAGTGTTTCTTTTCATTCCTTTTTAGGAGAAAAGCTTTTAATCCCATCAAAGAGATTTGATTTGAACAGATTTAAATATAACCTTTTGTGTAATTCCAGACCTGTGAAGTAAATTTTCTGTATGAAAATACACCATATAAAATATACAATTAACCAGTAACTTTAGTAAAACTTGCTAAAAAGCCCTAGCAGTATTTCCTTCTTCAGAGTTTCAGGCATGAAGTTTAGTTTAAGAACTCTATATTCCATGTTCCTTGCAAATTTTAGTTACTCAGGGTTTACTGTGAAACTTAATGTGTTGATTGTGTTCTGCTAAAGATGCTTTCTCAGTTAAATTGTGTATCTCTAATTTTATACATATATCTTGAACTCTATCACTTGATTAATTTGTACGCTGAGTGAAAAGATAAAGGGTAGCCCTGGCTGGTATGGCTCAGTGGATTGAGCACTGGCCTGTGAACCCAAAGATTGCCTGTTTGACTCCCGGTTGGGGCACATGCCTGTGTTGTAGGCCAGGTCCCCCAGTTGGGGGTGTGCAAGAGGCAGTCAATTGATGTATGTCTCACACATTCTCTGTTTCTCTACCTCTCTCTTCCCTCCCTTCCCCTCTCTCTAAAAGTAAATAATAAAATCTTTAAAAAAAAAAAAAAAGATAAAGGGTAAAGTGTGGAGAATCTAAGGGCATGGAGACATACCGTCACTTCATGGGCATAGAGTGAAAAACAGCCTTCTCCGGACTGTTGCCTGCCCCTTTGATTTCTCTTCTGCTGTCTATGTAGGAGAGGGTAGAGGCATCATTACAATATACCACAGAAACTTTCTTCTGAGATCTGCTTTGTAGAGATAAATTATGCCCTCCCCCAAGGGCATCTCCCTTTTAGTGGTAGAGTTAAAAAGTGCCCTGAAATAATGATGTCTTTGAATTCTTAATCTGTGCTTATTAGGAGACTTAATATCTTTTAACTATTATTATTATTTCTAGTTCTCTTAATATTTCATGTCTTAATAGTTTTTTCCTGATTAAAAAAGTTCTCTCCTTGCCTCCCACCCCATTTTGAAACCACAGCCACTATCTGTGTATACTTCTCTCATTCCCTTCTCCCTTCTTTTAGGGCTTTGCTCTCACATAGAAATTGCCTTATTTGGAGTAATGAATGCATTGAATCAGTTTTGCTCTTGTGATTGTTTACTTTTCATTACTCTATGAGAGCATACTCTTTGAACAATCTCTGGATTATTCTGATTACATATTCTATTTGAATCAGATTTAAATTTTTTAAAATTTTTTAAACTTTTATTTCCCTAAGTCAAAGCAGTTTATTTATGATAAAGCATAGGAAACACTTGGTGTAGTTCCCTCCCTGCTTATAGTAGTTTATATCCTCATTATAAGAAAACTCCTCTGAGTTTAAACTAGATATTACTAATTTTCTGTTTCTTTGTTCTTAGAGTAGTTGTCCAATCTAGGGTATATTGGTAGGATTTTGCTTTTTGTTTATTTGTATGAATCATTTCCCCAGTCAGCTAGCTTTCCAACATTTCTACCAGATTTTCTCCCAATATAACTATACAGAAGACAGTGTTAAAATTCATGGCAACAGTGTTTTGGTACGTAAATTATTCCTTTTTAAAGAAAAGATGTTTCTATACTCTTAAAATTGGTCCATTTCATTTAGTTTTCAATCCTTGACTTCCAAATTTTTTTGTCTCATTTATTCTTTTTTATTCTTAGGTTTTAGGACAAGTATCTTCTGGAATTGTTTTTATAAAAATGGAGGCTATCACCCTGGCCAGTGTGGCTCAGTTGGTTGGAGTGTCATCCTGTAACCAAAAGGTTACAAGTTCATTCCTGATCAGGGCACTTACCTAGGTTATGGGTTCGATCCCTGTTGCAGGCACATATAGGAGGCAACCAACTGATGTTTCTCTCTCACATCTATGTTTCTCTCTCTCCTTTCCTCTCTCCCTTCTTCTCTCTCTAAAAGCAAGGAAAAAATGTCCTCAGGTGAGGATAAAAATAAGTAAATAAACATAATTTTTTTAAAAATGTAGGCTATCTTCTACAGCAAGAATTGCTTTTACTTTTATTTTGCTGCAG